CCGGGCCCGAAACGAGCTTCGACAGAATCTTGGATTACGCGATCGACTTCGCCAGCTCGTTTCCTCTCGATCTACCGTACTTTGGCTTTTTCTGGACGATCAGCGTGAGCCACGAAAACGCGAACGGATTCTCGTCTATGGATGATCGATTGCTCGACAAGTTGAAACGAATGGAGAGGGAGGGGGTGTTGAACGAGGCGATGATCGTGTTACTGAGCGATCACGGGATGCGATGGGGACCGATCAGAGACACGTTCGTCGGTTGGTACGAGGAGCGACTACCGTTCCTTTACGTTTGGTTGCCGAAATGGTTCCGGGACGAGAGGCCGGGGGCGTATCGATCGCTACGCGCCAACCGGAATCGGCTTACCTCCCCCTTCGACCTCTACGAGACGTTGAGGGAGGTGTTGAGTTTGTCGGGTGGGAGGGCGAATCCGGCCTCTGGTTGCCCAAAGTGTCGAAGCCTCCTCTCAGGTCCCGTACCCCGAATCAGAGGTTGTTCCGACGCTGGCATCTCCTCCCATTGGTGCGCGTGTACCACGTTCCAACCGGCCGATCCCCGCGACCCCCTCGTCCGCAGAGGATTGCGAACGTTTCTCGAGCATGTGGACAACGTGTTGGACCGGTATCGGGACAAGAGGGGCAGACGAGTGTGCGCGAGACTCGGTTTGAAGAAGTTGCATCGGGTGGATCAGGTGGTCGATTTTGAACGAAATCGCGACAGCAACGGTAGCCGCGTCTATTTCTATCTGATACAGGTGAGCCCGGGCGACGGAAAGTTCGAGTTCACCGTTCGATACCACGGCGAGAACGGTACGTATACCGTGTCCGATCACGACGTGAGCAGACTCAATTCTTACGCCTCGGCCGCCGAATGCCTGAATCGTGGGATGAAACAATATTGTCACTGTCTCAAGGTAAAACGATGAAGGAGAAATCAAGCGTGGTACATATAAACACCTATCTTCCTGTGGTGTATAATTTGGGCAAAATTAATGGATATATATATATATATACTATATATACATATATTTTTTTTACTACGCATCTGTTTGAACGATCAAAAATTAATTCACAAGTTAAACTAAACGGTGACTCGTCGGCAGACGTACGAAAAAATAAATAATAATTTTTCGCAAAAACGTATATTCGTTTCTTTCTTCTCTTTCTCTCTCTTTCTCCCTTCTCCTTTCTCTTTTCTTCTCTTTCTTCTCCATCTCGATTCGCATCGATTTCGCGAAACGAAAGAGAGATCATCGATCGATCCATCAATTGAACGCGGCAGCGTCCAAGCTTAACCGAGAAACGCGACCGATCTCGCGAATCGTGGCCTGCTCGTTGCCAATACCTTGCGTACGCCGTCGTCGATGAATCGGCCCGTGTTCCGGTGTCCCGAACAACATCACCGTCACCGATTTCTTCCGTCGGGGATGCGACACCGTTAAACCCCTCCTCGCCAAAAATCCGTCCAGGATCCTGATCCTCTCGTACAAACTCTCGAGATCGCAGCTCGAGTATCGTCGATAGTTTCTTCCCACTCCTCCTCGTTCGGGCCACGAGTCGATCGAGGCCGGGTCGAAAGCGTGCAAATATCTCCATATAGCCGTTTCCAATTCGCCGTTGCTCAATTTCTCGTAACTACCCACCATCGATCCCACGGTCGTCGATGTTCTTCCCAGGTAACAATCGCGCGCGCATACCGACAATTTCCTCATTGATCTTCGGAACGTATCGCACGGAGTCGAGGAGATAGACGCGGCGCTCGATCCACCGCTGTTACCGCCTACATTCTGCCTTTTCAACAATTTCACGATCGTGCTTCTCGCTCGATCCAATCCTCCTCTCTCTTCCTCCTCTTCTTCCTCTTCCTCCTCCTCCTCCTCCTCTTTCCCCTTCCTCGTTCCTACCTCGCTTCCTTCGAAATCCGTCAAGATCACGGTGGCGCAACCGCATGCACCCTCGCAAGAACATTCAGTCTCCCATCTAACGCCGTCCGTCGAGGTTTCGTCTTGCGATGGCCATTCTTCCGGATCCGCGCTTTCCTCCATCTCCTTCTTCTTATCCTTTTTCCTTGCCTCCGCGGTAGAAGAGGAAGCAGGTTTCGTTTCGATAGGAAGAATGCGTAAACTTCTTCGCTGGAAGCAGGATCCAATCGAGGAGTGTGGACCGACCGTCGTAGATCGGATCGAATTCCAACTGTGACGAATCTGCGGATACGCGCCGAGAATTTGGTTGTCCAGATACGAACCTCGATTCAGATTTCCCTCTAGCGCGGAGGACGAGATTCGAGGACCGTTCGATCGACGAAACCAGTTCCTTCGTTCCGTTCTCTCTTCTTCCTCTCCTTCTTTTCCATTCCTGTAATCATTGTCATCCTCGTCGTCCTCGTCGTCTCGCACGCCTGAACGTGAAATGAAGAAGTTTGAAAAACGCGTCATTACGGCTTACATACCGTTCACTGGTGAAAAGAAGTTTCGCGCAAGGAATGCGAGTCTAATTTGGAAGTAAATTTTCACACGTATTTTTGTTGTTTCTCGTCGTGTCGTATTCGTTACATATACCGATCCAAAAACGATAATCTATATACAAAAACTTTTTATGCTTAAAGATACATAAAATCCAGAGAATTCTAACGTCTCGATATAAAAATTTTTTTTATTTTTCATCAATATGCGAAGGTAATTATGATTTGAAACGATAATTTAATTTATAAATGTAGTTTCATATTCGAATAATTAAAATAATAATTGTATGATGTATACGAATATTTCAGCTTTCAATTTTAAAAGATTATTCTAATACAAATGAAAGTAATTTTTATGATTTCGAATGTTTAGGTTATTTATAAATTATAGCTTTTTTATTGCTATGTAGCGTGTGGTGTCAGGTTTGTCAACAAAGCGCTTGAAATGAAGATAAGCGATCCTAGCGAAGGATCCCTCTTACCTCTGTGCCGTCTCGCAAGACTTCTCTTCAGCAGCGAACTATACTATACTATACTATATCTCCGCCAACTTTGTCGAAATTTTAAATCAACATTTTCTCTAATAAATTTTATTCTTTTTTTTTACTTTCCTTATATTTTTATATAAATTCTTTCAAAATTAATTACGACTAACATCCTCGATCATCATTTCCATCTACTTCTCGATCGAAATCTTACATTTGTAACATTCTAAACGATTCAATCTATTTAGAATCAATTTTTTTTAATATCTCGAAACATATTTCTTTTTTTAAAAATATTTTCTTTGAAAAAAATTTTAACGTTCAAAAAAGTACTTAAAATCCAATCAAAATCAAAAAAGCAAAAATTAAGAAGATAAAAAAAAAATTTAATCAAATCTCCTTTATACATATATATATATATATGTATGTATGTATGTGTAAATTTTATTAATATTTTATAAATTAGTAATAATACAAAAAATTACTATCAAAAATATCGATAAAATAATAAAACGAAATAAAAATTAATATTTTATATAAACAAACTACTTACTGGCGTTCGAATCAGCGGCCAATAATCCGGATACGCTAAAGTGTCGCGATATAGATCCCGGAGGAGTGATGTAGGGAGGTGGTGGACTCTCCGGCAATCGAATAGCACGGTTCTTCGAAGATATTTCCAGATCTTGATTACCGCTCGACGTACCCGCCTCGATGATGGAACAAACGGAGGATCGACCTCCCCCCACTTCCAACCTTGCAAGATGGAAACAACGTTCAACGTGTGTTTATTTTTTCAATAAAGACTTAATGCCTAACTCTGACTGGTGGAAAAAAGTCTCGCGGTAAAAATGCGGTGATTGATTTTTTTTTGAAAGAAAACGCTTCAATATATTAGACATAGAATTCAGAAAATTCTAACGTAATCGATATAATATAAAATTTTTTTTATTTTTTATAATATGCATTAGGCTAATTACGATATGTACAATAATTTAATTTGTAAATATAATTTCGAATAGTTAAGATAATATTTGTACGAATATATGTCTCGAAATAATTATATGAATAATAATTTAGAAAATATTTCAACGCTTAGACAATCATCCTAACGTAATTTCATAAATGAAAATAATTTTTACGATTTTGAATATTCAAATTATAGCTCTTTTACTATTATGTATAGTGTATAGTATAAGAATTGTCAACAAAACGTTTGAAGTGGGTATAAGCGGACTCCTGTAATATCCCGCGAGACTTTTTTTCAGCAATAAATAATACGAACGAGAGCGAAAAATATAATATATATGAGTCGAAACTTACGAAGAACCTTGAAGACTCGAACAAGAGTTTCTACCTCGAAACATCCTTCGCTTCTTCCGACCAATCATCTCCGAGTCGAATCCGAGCTTCACCACTTCGTCGTAGCCCGGTGGCGCCTCGTATACCGGGGGATCGTCTGTTACGGAAATTTCGTCGATCCGCGCGCCGTCTGCAATGTCGAAAACTGTCGAAAGTGATAGATGAGAAAGGGCCGCGTGTAATCAGCTACATCGCGCTTCCTATCGTGTCTTCCTACCTAGAAGCTCGCTGATCGTTTGCAACCTCGACTGAAGTTCTCTCTGTTGCCTGGCTCTTGCCCCCATTCTGTACAGCAGGATGATCAACGCCGATATCAAGATGATCAGGCCGAGGCTACTCGCGACGAACACCAACGTGGCTGTCTTCAGATCCGGATATCGATCGATCTTGGGAAAGTAATAGTTGGCCTTGTTCGCGTGCCACTTTCGATCCTCAGCTTGATCTTCCATCTCCCAATCTTTTTTGTTTTTTTTTTTTTTTTTTTTTTTTTTTTTTTTGCCGAACAAAACGTCGATTCGAGGCGCGAAGCGCTTTAACGGACGGATACTTTACCTCGAAAACATGTGGCTGGCTCGTCGCTATTGTCCCCGCAATGGTCGAACCCGTCGCAATTCAGTTGATTCGGTATGCATCTGTGATTACGGCAAAGAAAATCCGAACCGGCGAAACAATCTGCAAAAAATGGGAAACAACGAATTTCGAAAATATCCGTCTCGAAAGTTCAAGTTTTTTTCGCTCACCCATGTAGCTGAAAGCCGCGTACGCAATGGCAAGATGGGAGGATGGGCCGAACGTTCCTCGAAAGCTAACGTGAAACCCGCTCGCCACTGGCGCCACGTGTTCCCTAGACGTGTACCTAGACTGTTGAACTTGACTGGTCGGATGCCTTAAAATCTCGAGCGGTAAAAGGGCCGAGGTTGGTCCTTGTTTTATCACCAGTTCCGTATTCCCGGCTGAAATCGTCACAGTGATAACATCTACGAGGAGTGAAAGAAGAAGATAAAGGAATCCCGCTCACCCATATCCGCGAAAGTGGTCACCTTCAGATACATATGTGTTTTCAAGTGTAGAAAATTTTTGGTTGGTCTGATCAACCAGACACAATCGTACGTCTTCACACCTTCACCGACCATATCCATCATGGTGATGGCACCGCCAAGATTTTCCACGTATCCCCCGCAATCGGTTATCGGTTTCACTGACTTGTCCAACGAATGCCCGATCACGAAGGAGTAGAATGCCTTATAACCTAACCCAGTTCCACCGTTCGCGTAGAATCGTATCAGCAACGAAGGGCCCGAGCTCATTATTACCGGTGGACGAAATCTCGCTCCGCTGCTCACGTCCAGACGTTGACCGTTCCAATCGTAGAACTGTATACGAATGATACTGTACGATAGATATGTACGACAGATATAGCATATCCGCCATCATCATTTTCCACTTACCTCCATTATCGACACGGTGGCCAATTGAAAATCGCTGAACAACAATCTGATGCGGCAAGACGATGCCTCGTTAGGACACATGACCACGTATTCCAAGCCTAGATCGCGAGGATACCGAGCTGGGAAGAACGGCGATGTTAAAATCCCACCACCGGTGTTGTTCAAACCTTTTGCTGCTTGACCGGTCAATTCCGTACCTTTTAAGTGCAATCTGTTTCCTGTGTGGATCAAATCACGTTGATCAATCGTTTTTCCTTTTTTTTTTTTTCATAACCACTTACTTTCTGCCATATACTCGAGAGTGAACGCGTGCATATGTGACTGACTGTAGAACAACGTGATTGACAAGGTTCTCGTGCTGGATTTATAAGTGATGGGTGCGTACAATCCGCAAAATGGTGTCCCGGACACATCCTCGTACGGTGGTTCCGAGATCCATACGTAATCGCATCTATACAAAACGAAAAGACGTGGGGAAAAACGTGTGTGTAAGGATCCGGCAAAGCTGCATAGGAGTTACCTGCACGGGCTGTCCATCGTAATTGTACCGTCGCCGCAATGATGGGACAACGCGATGGTCTGGAAGGTGACTATTATCACGCAGGAGGGACATGTGACCAACTCGAGACTACATTCAGCGTGGGAACTGTTACTCGTATATACGAGCGAACCCTCGCCTTTCCTCGCCTCGTTTCTCACCATCGAAACATTCTTCGCGTACAATATACCCTTTTCGCCCAATTCCAGATACAATCGCCGACCGTTTTGAACTCCGCAGATATCCTCGTTCCGAACAACGTTCCCCTCGATCATCGCGGCGATCGACAACCATAGTAACATCCCTGTAATCGTTTTCAACGCCGATAACGCGATTTCGATGATTCTCCTATGCTTATTTCATCTTTCGCTCGCTTCTATTCCGCATCACACACGCATCATCGCTTACTCTCCTTCTATCTCCCCTCCTCCCCCCCCTCCCCTCTTCTCTCCATTCTTTCAATTTTTTTTTTAATCAGTCACGCACCAATTTTCGCTCGTGTCACTCTCGGTCGAAATCTTACCGAGTCTAAACCGATGATGCATCTTCTTTCGATGAAAGGAAAAAACGTTCTGCCTTTCGAGAAACTACCATCGCGATTTACCATCTACGTAATTTCATTAGTTCCCAACGCTGTTACGTACCTTCTTATTACCGTATCAAGCATTTTTATGGTATCTTTTCCACACTCCCGCTCCCTCCTTATCCCCTCTCCCTCTCTCTCCCTCCCTCTCTCTCTCTCTCTCTCTCTCTGTCGTTTTAAAAGTGGACAAATGCCTCTTCACCTATACACCTTTCGGATTTCCATCTTTTTATTTTATCGATGCGATACTTTCAGATTCTCGAATAAATAAATATTTCTTTCTCTTTTTGTCTTTTCTTATTTCTTCATCTTTTCAAGAAAAAATCTTTTCCAGATGATTACTTATGGAGGAATTATGAAAAATCAAACTATATTTGTAAGATTGGAAATTTTTATGTAACATAACGCGTTTCCATGTTACAATTTTTTACATAGAAGAAATGAAAATAGAAAATGGATGACTGGCTCGCTCGATAAATTTTATTCATTGCTCATCCCGAATTTACGATCCCACATAATATCGATCGAGCAATCAGGATATTTGCTATACACTTTACGATCTAGAATGATGAATGAAGGAATAATATCGAATTCAATCGGAAAAATTGTTAAGATTGATTTCTTAGAAATAATTCTTTTGCTATATCCTTTTGTATATTCTTTTGACACTATTTCCGTACTTCGAATTTCGATATTATTGCGTATAAGATAAAAATAATAAAAAAAAAATATGTATATGCAACTTTTAATGTAATGTAATGACTTACGCTGTATAAAAATTGAATTGAATAGAACTCTGTTCGAACTTTTAATCAATAGATTAAAAAGATAATTAATATCAGATTCGTTTCTCGAGCGAAAAAAAATTTTCAGAACAATTATAGACGAAGAGAGGAAATGATGGGACAAGAACAGAAATAGAATAAAAATATTGAGATCATCTTGAGAATGCCGTAAATGAAACACAAAGAAAGAACGGAAAATGGTGGGAGAAGGCTAAAGATAAAGCAAGAATCGACACTTAACGCCATCTCTGGATTGGACTTTTCGAAAAAAATTGTTCTTAGAAAAGATGGCGCTGACGATCAATTCTTATCGTATTTATCTTTCACTATTTTCCTCTCCTTATATAGCTGATGCCTGTTCAAACTAATCTTTGTAAAATAAAATATTTATTTTTTATTCCTTGCAATTGTAATTTTATATTGTTGAAATTTTCAATCATTATTGATATCGCGATTTTATTGTTGCCGTGAATCGGTAACAAAAAAAAGTATCAAATAACTAATGCGTAATTATTATCGTGTCAATCGGTAATAACTTTCGAATTTTGCTTGTGAAAAAATACGTCAGATGCCTCTGAAGAGAACATGGAGAGAAACGGAAAGAAAATTTACCTTGTCTCTCATTGTCAAAACAAAATATGAAGAAAGATTTGGATTTGCTGTCCGTATCGCGTGATTATTCGGATAATATATTAAGCATGGATCTTGCTATAGATTTAGAAAGGCAAAGATTTCCATTTTGTATAGTTTGGACACCTTTACCGGTTCTTACGTGAGTAAAATGGAAAAAAATAAATGCATCGAATTGGTGCATCATATTAACCTAACTCGATATCGCATCAAAATTAATTAAAGTAATTTATATACTCTTCGAATCAAATATTTACGAATATATCGGTTTTTCTGGCTTGGCGATTTTTATTCCTTGATATCGCAATCTCGAAACGTATATATTTTCATCTTCATTCTTAAGGTATTTTTTACCGATTATCGGTCATATGGGTATTGCCACTTCTACTGGTGTGATCCGAGATTTTGCCGGTCCATATCACGTTGCCGAAGATAGGATGACATTTGGAAAACCTACCAAGTATTGGCAATTGGATTATACCAAAGCCAAAGGAGGCGTGCAGGGATGGGATTCTGCCGTTGCAGAAGCTAGTGAAATCTATAAAGGTAGAAAGGTAAGCTTATTAAATATATTCCTAAAGCCAGAAAATATTTTTCTAATCTTAATCTTTCCCCATTATTAAATCTATTATTCTTTCTTCACAGCACTATATATGTTATGATAATTGTCATTCACATGTAGCAACAGCATTAAACTTAATGGCATACAATAATTTAACTAATTGGAATATGATAAAATTAGGATTCCTTATACTTGTGCATGGAAAATATGTGAGGTAGGAAAGATATTTTTAACCGTATTTTTTTACACAACAAACGTAAACACGGTTAATCGTTACACGATACGTGTATATTTTTCAGCTTTACAGGTTTCCTTAAAACATGGATGCCATTCATATTTCTCGTCATTATCATGACTTCATTATGTTTGTTACTACGATAAGATCTTTTAGAATACTTAGATAACGTTCGCACATCTTCTTTCTTGCTCGATTATATTTGATATTTATATTAGCCGAAACATTGTTATTCGTACAACATTGTATCTCGATGAAAAGATCGATCATTTAATAATACTTATTGTTTTATTAAAAGATATATACATCGATATTTAAAAATTACACGTGTGTTACAAATGTATAATTTCGTTATCTATAATATAGAGTATATTTAAACTTATCGGATAAGCGATTTATCTTACACTGGAAACGCATAGAATCGTGAACGTGTCATCTTTGAACAATAAATTTGTGCTCGCACGTCATTGAGTGTTATTAAGCCATTGCAGTTTATATCTTATTATCTCGCTTTTTCTCATTTTCATTTTCTTTTCTTCTCTCGTCAAACGTAAAATGATGAAAATCAGCAAAAATATAAGAGTGGATTTTTCATATCAACCGACATAGCCGATATGTATATGAGCATGAAGAAAACGAAAGTGTTCACGCCAGTGTATTTTTAACGATACACTTACGCAAGAATTATATTGCACGTGTTGGCCAAAACACTCAAGAATTTTAATTCGACGCGAACGTTACGTGATCTCTGAAGACATCTGATATGCGGAGAGAAAATTATTCGTTATTTCTACTATTCATTTCTGCCACGATGCTTTCTTCCAAAGCGAAATTATAATCATAATTTTGATTCCTTATTGTCTCTATGAAGGATAAAATTTCACTAATTCTAAGTTGATCTATCTCGAAATCATTGCTCGCGTTAATCTCCAGGTATTTGCACAATTTGAATGGAACGCCGTTCAAATAATGCGTACTCTCTCCTTGGTTAAAATCTTTGGACGAATCGGTTGGTACAGCTTGTCCGAATTCTGGAACAGGAGGTATGTACGAAGGATACAAGTTACCGCTAGGATACGTAGACGTGGTGTCATGACTTCTGTTCCCTTGTATCGACGAGGTCCAATTCGGAACGAATTCATAATCGTCGCTTTGATTCGATACTTGTTCCTCTTCCGTCGAATCAGATGGCGAATCCTTGTGCTGTTTCTTTCGCCCGAATAACCAAGACATTTTTTTTTACAAATACGACGCGGAATATCACAATGTAATTCGAGAGGTTATCTGTGTGAAAAAACTTGTCGATATAATCAATTGACGATTAAATATTCGATGATGCACAATGTAATGAATTCATATTCGCACAATACGAATTTAAAAGAAAAAGAATAAAAAATTACTCACATATCAATTTGAAAAATGAAATAAAACGTCTACAATCGAAAGTTCCGACTTAAAAGTTGATTATGGTCGATCGATGATCATTTGTGGTATTATTATTTATCATTTACCATTTTAAAAGAACATTGTACAGTCCTTGTACTTGAAATCCAAACCTTTCTCTTGAATAATTAATTTTATCGATGCCAATAAAGTGTGATGATTTAACTGACGTATACTTTTTGGTTATACGTTAGTGATACGCGAAAACACATTGTTTTCAACATTGTCCGTTAGATGTTAGCACCGAGGTAATCGAATACAGCGCAAGCGTTCCAGTGAAATGCTATAAGACGAAGAGTAGGAAAGAGAAAAGTAGAAGGAGAATAAAGGAAAGAACACCTGCAACGTCATCGTGTAATCCTTGTCGTCCGAGGTCGTCTAAGTAAGATACAGCAGTCGCAGTGGTAGTTGGCAAGCCTGCAACGATCCACTAAATTGTAGGTTAGAGATAGCTTGTACAATTAACTCGCGTAGCTATACGAAATCGTGAAATCGTAGATAACGATGAAAAGTTGAGAGCTATTAATCGTGGAAAGTTTCATCGATAGTTTGTTCGCGACGAATGGTGTCGTTGTGGATACATAGGTTCGATGTAAAAGCTAGGTATCGTTCCGCAGAATCCAATTTACGCGTTCCTCGTGTTGTCTCGAAACGCATGCGTGCTACCAAGGTAACGAAGTGCATCTGGCAATAATCGGGCGAGCCGTTATAGTTGAACAAACCACGTCGAGGTAGCAGGGCGATCGCATTGTTTTTATGTTTCTCGTATGTGTACATGCCATGCATATACGCTCTGTGTAAGGCGTATCGCGAGTGTCTCGCGAGCGATCAACGTAACTGTCTTCTACGCGTTCGTTGTTTTCCAAGTGTTTGTGGTAAAAGAGAAATTACACCGAGTACCATTGTAAGACGTCGGTTACGTTCGCGCTACGCAAAGGTGTGGCAGCGTTACCAGTAAGTCTCTTGGTGTTGGTGAATTTACGCGGTACCGACCATTGCTAGTTCTCCCGTTTGCTACTCGTCCATTGCGTATTGCTTCTTTTTCTCTTTCCGTCTCTTTCCCTC